CGGCATACAAGCCGAATAAATAAATAAATAAGTAAGTAAGTAAGTAAGTAAGTAAGTAAGTAAGTAAGTTTATGTTGCTTCATCAGATCAGGATCTGGATTGATCTCATGATGTTTGCTTTCAATAGTTAAGTCTATTTATAATTATGTTCTGTTTTATTAAACACTGCAGCAAAACTGGCTTATTTGTCTGAATCTCTGCAGTTCTACAGACATTGTGGGAAGCCCGTTTTCCCATTGGGATTTTCAATTCATCTTGTAACTACCTCAAGCCACCTATCACTCTCTCCATCTGCCTCAGAAGTTGGTGTTCTGTTCCTGGAGCTGCTGCAGCAACATGCTATCAAGACCACAGCTATTGGGGGAAAGGACCTGGTTGCATAACTACTGGCATATTTTCATTTCACTTACAAAACTTGCAGGGGCTTTTAATTAATAGAGGAATGATAGTAAGATAGCTGGGAAAACTTTGGAGGATTTCAGTGCAGGTCTCTATATTTTTTCTAATCAACATTCCCATGGCAAATCACTGGGCAAATGGATATAAATACATGTACTAAAAACACATAAGGGGAAGAATATAGGAAAGATTTTTTTGGTTTTTTTGTTACTCTACAGCCAACGGTAGCTTAAGAGGAAGGACACTGAATTATGTTTTTTGCACTTTCCTGTTGGTCAGCTAACAGAAATCAAAATGAGCACTGATTTACTCCTGATGTTTTCTACATATTGTCTATATTTTTAGCTCAGTAGAAGTGAAAATGATACTGGGACAAATTTAAACCATTCTGTGCATGGCTGAGATGTGGAAACACTGTGGTGCTTGATAGGCAATGTGAAAAGTAATATGATAGGCAATGTGAAGTTGTCTGATGGATTGAGCTACAAGTCCAATAAACCCCACTCAGCATGACCAGTGGTAAGGCATAACAGGAGTTATACTACAACACACATAGAACATATCAATTTGCCTGCTTCTGACCTAGCATAACCAAGCTTAATATCAGAAGAAATACAAACTTCTTTTGGCCCAGCAAAAGGCAACAGTTGAAACTCCATTCTAGTTTTGAGAAAGGCAAGTGCCACAGCACTGAAGAAGAGATTTGGTCATACTGTTCCCACCAAATTTGCTGGGTTTATTTATTACATTTATAAGGCCACCCAATTCCATAACAAGTCTGGGTGCCATGAAATAATACAATAATAACAAAAAAAATACAAATAAAACCACAGGAACCCAGAAAAGAAAGACCATAAAAAGGATTAGCCCACAGGACCTGTAATCCAGTCTAACCCAAGGAAAGACCAAATTTTAAGAGCTGTTTTAAACATGGTCGGGGAGGGGGGGAGATAACGTTGTCCCAGAGGGCAGGGGAACAGTGAAGGCACTTTTTCTAGATACCATCAGATGACACTGCTTAATAGACAGGACCTGGAGTACACTGACTCTGGCCAATCATACAGGACAGGAAGAAACCTGAGAAGACAGATGGTCCCTTAGATAACAAGGCCTTATGCCATGAAAGGCTTTACAGGAAATAACCACCACCTTGAGTTGCACCTGGAAGTTTTAACATAAGCCATTTAAACATAAGCCATTCAGTTGCACCTGGAGGTTTTCACGTAAACCATTCACCTTAATGTGCAATTCTGAAATGTTATTTTCCCAGCAAAGAAATGGCACTTAGGTATATGCATGCAATGAATACATTAATTCCAGCATATCCCACTCTAACATTTCCTCCCTTACCTGGAATGAAGTACTGCTCCTTGGCTGTAAAGAAAGATGGTCAAAGAGTAAATGTTAATGCAGCAAACATAACTCTTTCAGACCTATTAGAGCAAGCATGTACTGTGCAATACATGAAAAGGAATATCAATTACACATAAAAGTATCAGCATACAGTATGTGTGTATGTGTGTGTGTGTATCTTTACCTAAGAAGTATATCTAAAAATAGCAAGCATATTTTCCATCATCTGTTATAGCACATGCATATTTTCTGGCACAAGAGTTAATTTTTTAAAAAATTAAGAGCGTGGAACACTTTAGTTTCAAAATTTCAAAATCAGTCAACCAATTTATAGTAAACAAATCTATCCATGTGTTCTGGACATTAAATAAGAGGTTCAGCAGCAGGCTAGTTGGCCATTTTAACCAAGCCATTCCTGTTGGTCTAAGTTCACTTTCAGGGTGGAAGATGGTTTATGGTTTATATGTTAGACCTCTGGGCACAAGAAAGGTTAAAATGAGAGGGAATGCAAAAGAGGCAATATCTTGTGATATGCAAGCAAGCAGGCAAAAGATGGCAGAACATTTCTACACGTTCTTTATAGTCTGTTGTGTGTTGAGACAAAATCCCTGGAAAGGTGTGCTGGAATATGCAAAGGATACCCATTCTCATTCTCCTGAACCCAAATTCAAAAGCAACCCTATAGCAGGAAAGCAGCTCATACGGGAACAGCGGAATTTCTTGCTCTTGATCTGTCCAATGCGCTTGTTGGCCAAACGCCGGGGACTGGCACAACGAGCACCACTTGTCTCAATAGGATTGGCACGCAAGAAGTCTGCCAGCCACTTCAGGTTGCAGTCGCAAATAAAGGGGTTCTGGGCCAGATGGCTGTGGTAGGAAAGAAAAAGGAACAACTGAGCACATCCATTCAGGGATCTGTGGACTGCTCTGGTGGTTGGTCAGAGAACCACATGTAGCTGCTAAAATGGTGTTTCTAGCCTGTACAAAGCTGAAGGTTTTTTCAGGCACCTAGAGAGCAAAGTAGCCCCTTTTTTGGGGCTCCACTTAGTTGCCAGGACACTGAGGCCTGCCAATGGGTCTGGAACATCCTCTAGGATTTATTTTACTTATTCATGAATTATATATATATTAAGTTTATAGCCTGCCTTTCCTCCAGGAGCACTTTGTCCTCCAATTTTTCCCACCACTATCACCCTGTGGGATGGGTTGAGCTGAGAGATGACAGACTGACCCAAAGTTGCCCAATGAGCTTCTGAGACTGAAGGTGGGAGATGAGATTGGGCCCAGATATAGCCCAATACCTTAATCAATGTACTACACTGACTCAGTGATAAGATTGTAAGAGCAAGACTTCTTGTTTCTTTCAGATGGCATACCTGTTGTAATCTCCTGTTTTTTTCCCTCAGACTCTTGCCTGCCTTCCCCTTGGCACTCTGGAATTCCTACCGTCCTTCCACCAACCCCTATCATCATTGGACAAATCTGTACAGAAGTCAGCACTCACAGTGTCTGGATGGCACGCAGGGTAGCAAAAGTGCCTTTAGCCAGGGTCTGGATCTTGTTGTCATAAAGAGAGAGCAGTGAGAGGTTCTGCAGGTCAGCAAAGGCATCTGCCCGGATGCAGTTAATCTTGTTGGCATTCAATAGCCTGGAGTGATGGAGCAATCATACTATAGTAATGTGTGCACATGCTGTGATGACAGTCCTGGATATTACACAAAGTTATTCTTGCTCATTATGCAAAGGACCTACCCATGTGCACCCCATCAAGTTACTAATAAAGCTCAGGAGAAGAAATAAATTAAAATTGCATTTTAATCTGGAGTCATCTAATGCATATTTCTTAAACCAATATGAAAATTAAGCAAAGTTATTAATATTTGCATCTTTCAAATTGGGTGATGCTGTTTTGTACTCATACAAAAGTGCATATCTTAGTGGGAATAATGTACCACATTTAACTGAGTCATGGAAACTGCAAAATTGAAAATTAGAAAAAAGAGTCTACAAAAATATATATAACAAGGAAATGCACACAAAAATCTGTATGATTTTTCATGTAGTTATTTTTTAATGACATATTGATGCAAAAATGAGATGCCGTTAATTTAAGGTTGGGAAAATGACAAAAGGTGTACAACTATTTGTCCATCCCTAATTCAAGCCAAGTAAAGGGACAGAGAAAGTCCACAAGGAAGAATTATACTGTTAAAGACAAACAAGGTTTCCCTCTGGAATAATGCAGATGGAAGGGGAGAAAAGGTAGCTAGGAAGAGACGTAGAAGCTAATGTTGGAAATGAAATGATAACAACTACAGGTGGAAATGTGGGAGAAAAAGATAGGTGAATAAGGCAGGCAGTGAGTATCATCAGTTTTTAAGCAACTAGGGAAGCTGTCGGTTTCTGAAGATAGATGAATAACTATGTCACTGGAAATGAAGTTCTAGACTATTGCAATAGAGGTATCTAAGGGTCTCCTGCTATGCTGATATCCAGATAGCCATCCAGCTAACTTTCTTATATGTGCTTACAGTAGTTGTAGTGCATAGAGGCCTCCAAATACTCCTTTGGGCAGCTCTGTGATCTTGTTCCCATACAAGACTCTGGAAAAGAAATAAAATCAGGATTAGCGGTGCCATTTCAATGTCCCTATAGTACAGTGTTTCTCAACCTTGACAACTTTAAGATATGTGGACTTCAACACCCAGAATCTCCCACCCAGAAATTCTGGGATTTGAAGTCCACACATCTTAAAGTTGCCAAGGTTGAGAAACACTGCTACAGCATATTGAGAGAGGAAGCCATGATGTATTACTGAATCTTAGGTTCCCTTTTTAATACACAGTTGCCTCATGACACATACAACAGCAATGGTTTAGCATTTGAGAAGATGAAATCTGGGTTCCTATCAGTATCCAATATGCCCAAAATATGCAGCTGCTTAAGACAGCTGAATAGCTGGAGCTCCATAAAGCAGCAGTTTTCAAACATTCAGCAAACACCCTGAAAGAAGGATTGCAATATTATAGTGTAATTAGTCACCATGATGGCATGAAAACCTGATTCACAGAAACATTTTCCCTCTGAAACTAACTATAAAATTGCATTATGAAGTAACTACACTACACATTGTATTTAGGAGAAGAACCAAATGAACTTATATGGACAGAGGTTTGGCAGCCTCTGGAAACTGAAATAGCTATACAAAATATTGGCCAAAGGGACAGGGAATAGAAACTGGCGTCTTTAGGGAGCCTCAAGTTGGCATTAACAGGATATTGTAAACAGCTACTCTGGCATAAATTAAAGTATGCAGGTAGAGTCATGAAAGAAGAACATTCTTGCCCAACGTGCAAGCAGCATTTTGCATCCTTGACTACAGTGGTGTATTCCGTACTTTTTTCCCACTGGCTACTCACAGAGAGTTGAGCGAACGAAGGCCTTGGAAGGCATCAGGCGCAATCTCTGAAATCTGGTTGTTGCTCAGGTCTCTGAAAGGTATAGACAAAGTCAACATCATAAACCCTTAAAAACCTTGCCACTTTTCTTCCCTGTAAGTGACGTTCCCTTCCCAAAAAGAATCTATTTGCCACTTGCAGCTTCAAAGTCTTGAATTATAGATGAACATAAGTAGATATTTTCCATGACAGTTATGGACAGCGCTGGGGCCACTTGACAACCTTGGAAAACTGAAGAAAGATACAGTGTTTGATCCAACCCTTGTTTCTTCCATTCTTTACCCACATAACCTAATGTATTCTTGCACTACCCTCCTGAAATTCAGAGTTGGATTCATTCTTCCTGTTTAAAGATAGAAGAGGTTTGAATGGATGCAGACTGAAATACTTATTTGTGTTTGGAAAGGCAAATTGCCTTTCTGTTCACAAGGTGGAGCGTGGAAGGAGAAGATCTAAAGCAAAAGCTGAGAACCCCTACTCCTAACCTGCTAGCTGGAGGAATGCTAGGAACTGTAGAACAGCAACATCTGTGGATTTCAAACTCCTTATCTCTGACCTAGGTCTCATCAGCCTAATTTGCTGTTCAGTTTATCCTTTCCTCACCAGTTATCATTCTCAGCTGTGTAACAGATAGACCCCAATGATAAAAAGAGAATTGTATGATAAGTAAAGATTGCACAGAAGGCCAAAGAAGCATAGACTGGACCATGGTGGTGAGAGATATAATTGACAGAGGCAGAATGACAGGATGGACATGATCTATATCAAGACACTTACATCCTGCGCAGTTTCTTGTATGATGAGAAGGCTCCAGGGGGGATGGACTTGATGCCATTCAGTTCCAGACGTCTGTGTGATAAGCCAAGCATTAGAAAGAAAACAACTTGGGCACACTAATAAAAGTGGCTATGTGATCTGAAATTGGGGGAGCTTTTGGTGTCCCCCTTGTCATGGTCAGATCACGCCCTGATTATAATGGGATTTCCTAGCACCACTATCCACTGCAGGGAGGTTGGACCTATTAGATAGGTCTGCCCCCAGCGACTAATGGACCTGGATGGGTTCCAGAGGGAGCTGAGGGTTGTTCCTGCTGGTCTTCTGCATGGTCCACAGAAGCCTTGGTAGCCACTTGGAATAAAGGGGTGGCTGAGGCTTTGGATCGGATCACGCCCATGCAACCTCTTGCCTCTCAGGGATCCCGGCACTCTCCGTGGTTTACTGAAGAGCTAAGGGAGAGGAAGTGAGAGAAGAGACTTCTAGAGCATCACTGGCACTTGATGAGGGATGAACTTGACCAAACATGGGTTAGAGGAGCTATTCATGCCTACTTAGTGGTGATAAGGGCGGAGAAGCGTCATTACTCCTCTGCTCTTATTGCATCTGCAGATAGCTGCCCTGCAGCCCTGTTTCGGGTGACACGAGCCCTCCTGGGTAAGGATGGTTTGGAGAACCTTCTGCAGCGATGTGCGGAGGAATTTTCTCTGCATCTGTTGGATAAAATCACTCAGATTCGTTCTCAGTTAGATGCTGGCTTTACTGCAGGTCCAGTGGAGGTGTCTAGGGAGGAGTCTTGCCCTGTTATCTGGAAATGGTTTGTACCTGTTGTACCTGAGGGAGTGGACAGGCTCAGCCACCTGCTCTTTAGATCCATGCCCCTCCTGGCTTGTGAAATCAGCCCGGGGGGTGTCGTGCAAGTGGGTTCTAGTGATGGTTAATGCATCTTTGAGTGAGGGGATTGTTCCCTCACCTCTTAAGGAGGTCTTGGTTCGCCCTCTCCTCAAGAGGCCATCACTAGACCCCACTATACTGGACAATTTTCATCCAGTATCTAACCTCCCCTTTCTGGGAAAGGTGATTGAGAAGGTGGTTGCACAACAGCTTCAGAGGACCTTGGATGAAGCAGATTACAATATCTGGATCCCTTTCAGTCGGGATTCAGGCCTGGGTATGGGATGGAAACAGCATTGGTCGCACTTTGGGATGATCTCTGGTGAGGGCGGGATGGGGG